GCTTGGGATACTTAAAAGTTTAATGAACTTTTAAAGAATTCGTAGAAATTTCGTGGAATTTTATGCAGTTGAAAATGATTTAAATGGATTCGAATAGAAATCAAATAAAAAATTAAATTATTGTAGGTTAAAATATATTTTAAAGAAATAATCAAAATTGGTTTGTAACAAAAATTAGTTGTTTACAAATACTATTTATTTATTAATAGATTATATAAAAATTTCTGTTAAAATGGATTTGCGGTCATACATCTTCCCAGAACTGTGTAACCAAACCAAATTTATATATGTATACATTTCACACTTCTCACTCTCATTTTATCTTGCATTCAAAGCGGATTAGTGAATTATGCAAAAAGATTTACTTTGAACGACGCATCGCCAACCAAACCCAACGAAGTGCAACACAAATCACGCGATTTTCCCATGAATTCGGACAATCTTTGCATAGTGTAAGTGATAAAGTCCCTAATCTTTCTGAGTAAACAAATATTGTTTAAAGGTCTCTTAGTGGGAATAGGTTTAACCTACTGCGTCATATACGAATTAATAAAAGCAGGAGAAATAAAATTAAGCAATTAAAATAATAATAAAAAGAGATAAAAATTATTAATTTAAAACCAAAACAAAAAAAATATAAAAACCTTCGAATAAAAAACTGTAATAAAATATATAAAAAAAATCGGAAAAAAAATTAATAAAATAAATTAAAGTAAAAAAATTGGGCTTTATTATATAAATCAAAATGAAATAAAATCAAATAAAACTAAAAAAAAAAAACAGAACAAAATAAAAAGTAAAACAAAAAATTATAAAATTAAATTAAATTATATAACAAATAAAATTAAAGAGAATAAAAAGGCAAAGTGTACAAAATTCTAGTCAAACAATTTTAATTAACTAATGGAATAACCAATTAAATAAAATAAAATCAAATTTAAAAATATTAAACAATATAAAATAAATTAAAATGAGAATAAACAAAAAATCAAAAAATTAGATATAAAAAAATAAATAAAAATATCAATAAAACAGAATAAAATAAAAAAATTAAAAAAATAAAATATGAAATATGAAATATATTGTACCAATAAAATCAAACAAACAAAGAAAAATAATAATAAAATAAAAATTTCAATTAAAAAAAATAACTAAAAAATTATAAAACATTAAAATATAATAAAAAGAAAAAAAACAACAAAATAAAAAACAATAAGTTAACAAAGTTAAAAATCAATAGAAAAGAATAAAATCAAATATAAAACGAGATTGTAACAAAATCATCTAAAAAAAAAATTAAATTAAACAAATAAAAAAAGGTTCTAAAATAAAAAAAAATCCAATAAAATAAAAACAACCAAAAAATTATAAAACATTAAAATAAAATAAAAAAACAGAAAATGAAAAAAACACAAAATGATAAAAAAAATTAATGACAAATATAACGAAAAATTAAAATAGAATAAAATAAAAAATTAATAAAAAATGAAGTGTTATAAAAACTTAAATAATATCAAAAAATGATAAAGCATTAAACGTAAAACAAAAGAAAAAAAGCAATTAATAAAAGAAATTTTATCGAAAAACATATTAAATAATTAAAATGAAATAAAAAATAATAAAAAAAAACTAAAAACCAAAGCAATAAAAAATAAATAAAATATAATAAAATAAAACAAAAGAAAATTAAATAAAAAATAATAATAAGCAAATTAAATTATATTAAATTAATAATATATAATATAATTATGTGTAATAAAAAATTTAAATTAAATTATATTATATCAAAAATATAATGAACTAAAATATATATTAAAACAAATTAAGCTTAAATAAAATAAAAAGTGAAATGAAATAAAATGAAATAAGACAAAATAAATAAAATAAAAAGTTAAAATTAAATATATTCAACTAAAATAATATTAAATTAAATTGAATGAATTATACAAACTTAACTTAAGTTAATTTAAAATAAAATAAAAAAATTAAATAAAAAAGTTTAAGATTTAAATAAAAAATTGAAAGAAGCAACAAAAAAATTAAATATACTGGAAACACACAAAAAAAAAAATAAAATAAAATGTAATACAATGCTGATTTTAAACGCCGGCCGGTTAATGACATACGTATATATACATATATTAGTATAATTTTACATACACATCTATGATCATATGAACCAAAGGCGTCATCACTTCGCAACATTTTTAATGACTTTGAACTTTGAACTTTGAAGCTTGAGGCTTGCGAGTGATAGTCTTTGGGGAAGCACGCTCAGCATGGATTTACTTCCGATTAGAGTGTAAACAGATTTGTATGTCTATAAAATATATTTATAATGATGAATGTTTGGACTAGCTGGGGACTGGGAAATTACGATTCCTCTTTTGAGTTGAGATCAAGCTTAAAAATAATTTAAATACAAAAATACAACAAACTCAGATGCATAATTTTATTTGTTTATTTGAAAATGTAATATTTGCTCGAGGTGATCAGTGAGATTGTCTAGCATTAGACGTGCGCTTATCACGTGTGCAATATTTGTGTAATTACTAAGCAAATTGATAAGATGCGACGTGCATAGACGCGTTGTGTTATTGTTTTAACAGGGATTTGTATGTGTTCCTAATTTTTGTTTGTTTTCTGTTAAGGAACTTATTATTATACTATTATTTTAATTTAGTATTTATTTTTTTATTTTCTTTTACTAGTTTTATAAAGTTCATTTTGTTATAATTTTTTTGGTTTTATTATTATTTTTTATTAGGTTTTTATTATTATTATTTTTTAGTTTGTTTTCATTATTATTATTATTATTATTGTTATTTTATTATTATTTTATTATTATTATTATTTTTTATTATGTTTTTATTATTATTATTTTTTATTGATGTTATTTTTTTATTATTATTATTTTATTATTATTATTCTTTTTTATTAATGCTGTTTTTATATTATTAATTTCTTTTATTATTATTTTTTATTATGATTTTATTATTATTTTTTTTTATTATTGTTTTATTATTATTATTTTTTTTAATGTTTTTTCTATTATAAATATTATTTTTTTATTATTATTATTATTAATTTCTTTTATTATTATTTTTTTATTATTATTTTTTTTTATTTCTTTTATTATTATTTTTTAATTAATATTATTTTTTAATTATTTTTTTTAATTATTATAATTATTTTATTATTATTATTATTTTATTACAATTTTATTATTTTTTTTTTAGTATACTATTACTTTTGCTTGCAGTTTTAACATATAAATTAGCCCTCTTTATAAAAGTCGTTAGGCCAGAAAACTATTTGCTCTCGATTTTGTGTTCCAAAATTTTGCAAGACACTCCATCACCCCATCAGCAATCTCACTTATAATATATGTTCTATGGTTGTGGTTGTGACCTTCCTCTTTTTTCCACCTTCTAATCGAGCCATATTAATTGGTTCTTAACCCTTGTCTTTGATCTTCATTTCTTTTGCCAAATTCATGTAAGGTATAACTCCCGATTTCACTACTTGAAAAATATGCTTTACGACTTCAAACGGTAAACAAATATACATAAATCATTTCATTTACATAATATGTGAGTACATATGAGTGTACGAACAACTTTCTTCCAAGCGCTTCAAAGTGAATTGTCTCTCATCAGTTGTATACTCGTATTGTGACAAGGTCATTCATATTTGAATATTTACCTTTCACTTGTCTGAATTTTGGGTTTTTTTTCTTCATTATTATTGTTATTTAATTTTTATTTTATTTATTTAATATTTATTTTTTTAATTTGTATTATTTTTTTTTATTTCTTTGCTTGGCTGCTTGGCTGCTATCTTTGTTTGTTGTGCTCTCCACTCAACGTGTCACTAATTTGTTTATAGCTTGTTTATTACTTAATTGTGGATTTCAAAGTTTTGACAAGCGTAAAATTAGTACGAAAATTGCGCGCTCACCACAACAATAAACTTGTAAGACCAGCGTGTGTCAAATGACAACAAATTATACTGAGTGAAAGAGAGAGAGGGCATATGAACTGAAATATCTACATATATGTATATGTGTGTATGTATGTAAATATGAGTGTATAAAAAGTTGCAGGCTCAAGACCAACTAAATTCCTATCAGTTAAATATAATTATTAAGATAAAAAAAGAATTATAATGAAAAAATTGGAAAGTTAAATTTGGTCATTTTTTAAATTTTATTTCATTTATTTAATTTTTAAATAGTAAATCGGCAGACAGCTTCAGCTAACAGTATTCTATAATAATTGTTTTCTTGCGATTTATCAGTATGTAGCGTCAGCGAAATTCTCGGTTTTACAGTGCTTGCAATTGGCGAAATAAAGCTGAGCTCGCTCTCTCTCTCTCTCCCTCTCTCTCTCTCTACTGCACCTGGCTTTCCACTATGCGTGCCCACGGTCGGTTGGACGGAAGATGGGTACGCTGAGCTTGTCGTTTGTCGTTTTAAAGACACGCCGTCCCTTGCGAGAGGTAATTTCTTATATTTTAGGTCATTAATCACTACGACGCTTGTCCCAAAGATGATTACTGAAATATCAATATAATTTTTTTACTGGAGTTGAAGGTGTTAAAAAATTTAGGGAACTCCAAACCAAGACCAAAATGAAACGAAAATGTGTAAATATTAGTTAATTAATTTTCAAATTTTTTTTAGAAAAATCGACCGGCTTGAAATCGGGCAAATATTTTCAGGTCAAGTGCTTGACTTACGGCAAATATTTTAATAAAATTAATAAAATAAGCTTTAAATTAGAAAACGTTTAATTCAAATATTAGAATTACAAGTAAAATATTTAATTACGCCCAGACACATACATACATATATCATTATATTCTTATTTTTATTTGTATTTTTTTTTTTTTTGCAGAAAACCCAAGCAAGCGCAACACAGCCTTTAATTGCACATTTTACAAATTATTGCTAATTGAAATATTTAAACCCGAAATCACATACACCTCCATAAACACACACACACACACACACACCTACGCACGTTAAACAAGCCAACAAACACGACGTGTCACACAGCCAGCGCACAAGCGAAGCGGGAGATGCAAAAATGTGTGCCAGTGTCATAAATCAAATTAACACCGACTGCACTCAGCTGAGCAGTCGCTGTAAGCCAACCGTAACCGGCAAAAAATACATTAACACCAACAATTGTGACGTCATGAACAAAAAAACCAACACACTTAAACGCAGTCAACGTCGCCGTGCTGAGTTCACTGCCACAACACGCATCGCTGACCGTCGGCCGTCGTCAATGCGCCACTCGCTGCCACCTTCACTGCTGCTTCTGAGCGCAGCCGTGTTGTTGTTGTGCACATTAGAACCGGCCAATGCAGCCGCAACGGCATCAGCAGCAGCTGCGGCTAACAACAAAAGTGCACGCGAAATTATTGGCAACAGCAGTGTGGATGATAAAACATTAAATCCCAAAGTAGCGGCCCCACCAACAACAAGTGGTGAGTAGTGATTGTTTGTTTTTTTTTTTTTTGGTTTTTTTTCTTTTGTTTACTTTTTTTGTTATTCCGGCTCAAGTCAGTAATATTCTCATTTTAAACGCGATCATAAACACGAAGGCGTCAGCAACGCAATCTCCCTTCGCCGCCTCTCACCGCCTCTCAGCACTGATAATTAGTTGGTTGTAAGATTTAGCTAAGCTCATTTTACGCTTTGTCATCAGCTGACAGCGGTAACATTAAGAACTTGAAGTAGAAAATGTTTTTGACTTTGCGAAAATAAAGACATAAAGGAGAGGAGATTAATGAGTTAGCATCGATTTGGGTATTTTACAAAAGTTGATCCGTTCGGAAATAATTGAGCCGCCGTCATTTGAAAAAAATAAATAAAATTTTAAGTGAATAAATACCAAAATAAATATGTTAATTTTTCAAAGCATAAAAATAATCTTAAAAATAACTTTTGTATTTATTCATATATCTAATTTGTGCTAATAATAGCTAAGAGCGCTTGAAGGGGATTTACCACACACAAAAAAATTAATATCTAATAACAGAGGTGGTAGGTTAAAGAAATAAATTCAAAAAATAAATATTAATAAAACCCATTGCATTGAAGCATCATTAATCAAAATTTTATTACGGAAAAATCTTAAAAAAACCGGTTGCTTTTGTTGCTCCTTTTTAAGTTATCTTTATTTAGCAGAAGAAGCATTATTTTCAAAAGAATATCATTTCTATACAATTTAAAAATAACCATAACAAAAAGAAAAATATTTCAATGCACAACTATATTAAAGTCATTGTATTTTTTTTATTTTGTACTTTTTTTGACGGTTTGCAAGCAATTATAAATAATTTATACTGATATAAAAGTTTGTAGCCAAAAATTCCAAGGCTGCATTGCGCGGAAAAAAAAATCAATGAATACAATTAAAAACAAAATAAAATAAAACAAAATAAAATAAAATAACATAAAATAAAATAATATAAAATATAAATGATATAAAAGCTTGCAGCCAAAAATTCCAAGGCTGCATTGCGCGGAAAAAAAATCAATGAATACAATTAAAAACAAAATAAAATAAAATAAAATAAAATAAAATAAAATAAAATAAAATAAAATAAAATAAAATAAAATAAAATAAAATAAAATAAAATAAAATAAAAAAAAATAAAATAAAATAAAATAAAATAAAATAAAATAAAATAAAATAAAATAAAATAAAATAAAATAAAATAAAATAACATAAAATTAAATTGAATTAAAACAAAAAAAATTAAATTAATTAAAATAAAATAAAATAAAAATTTAAGAATAAATTATGTTAATCTCAGTTGAGTTGCAGTCGTTGCTGCCACAACTGTTCGCAGATTCAGAGCACGTCTTTACCTCATCCCTAAATGATAATTTTTAGAATGTAAAAATATCAATTGCTGCCTACATACATACATACATTCCAACATCAACAATCACATCCAGATGCTGACATTAAATGCAAATTGCAAATCTAAACATTCCCCTTTCAATTATGGCAAATTCATTAAACAACGTTCACTACATTTACATACATACTCGTTTACATATGTATGTATGTGTGTGTATATGAAGAATCCATTTCTATGAATTACATTCGATTAACTGATTTACCAACTGATTTATTTGCTAATCAAGTTAGCATTCGTTACAAATTTTCAATGCAATTAAATCGGTAAATATGTATGTATGTATTTATGAGCAAAAAGGGCATCAGCTTGACTGCAGCCGAGAACAGCTGGCAAAAAAACAATTAAAGTAAATTAAATTAATTTTCAATTAATTCACTATATATTCTAGACAAACTACAATGTTTAAAGTGTAGTTATAAATATCTGTATATATATATATATGTACCTATGTAAATATTATATTTGCTTAGTTTTTATGCCTCTACTTCAAGCGGCAATCTCAAATATTATGACTATGAAAATAAGCAAACGTGTCTATTTGGTAACAATTACCAGTGGCGTAGACATACAAACGAGTACATACGTACATACATACATGCATACATGCATGGGAAAACTTCTTGCAGTGTTAGTCGGTATATCGTTAGACGGTCTCGTGTCACAGCAACGCGACACCGTCAATTAAAGCAATGTGTAAACATACGTACATACATGCATATATACATACATACTGCATAGCACTTATGCAAGTGTTGGCTGTTGATTGTTGGCTGCTGACTACCGACTACTAACTGCCGCCAGCTGACAAGCTTGATTTTTCGTACCTGCATACATACATATGTATGTATATACATGAATGATGATGAATCTGCTGTTAAAATCGTTAATAAATATCTACTATGCATATTTATCTATTTAAAAGCTTTGAATAATAGAAAATGCTTAGCTTAGCGTTGAAATATTCACCGCGCCAATTTGAGGCTCCACCCTGAATTAGCCTTTTTGCACTAGACATTGGCGCCCTTCGCAGCGTGTTCATCATCATCATCATCATCATCATCATCATCGGCGTCATCATCATGATCATTATTAGCGCTGTAACCAATTATGTAGGTTATACACGCACAGTGATGACAGACTGACAGACTGACAGACACAGACTGACACAATGAACACAATGAATGTGAATGAATGAAGAAAAAATGATAATAATTGCCATATTCGCAATATTTACATGCATAGTTACACTCTTTGATACAAAACAACAAGAAAAAACTAAAAATAAAAACAAAAAAAAAAAATAAAAATAAATTTGTAAACAAAAATTCACACAAAAATATACATACATACATATATGAGCTTAAAGGCACGTAGTAATTTGTATGTGTATGTGCGAATATGTGCGAAGGGAGAATATAAACATTAAATAAATGCCAAAAATTATTGGCGACATAAATATGTATGTAATGATGTATTCTCCACTATTATTCGCCAATAATGGCCATTTATGAGGGAGTCATAAAAGTAAAATAAATAAAGAAAAATTAAACAAAAGTATGCAGCAAACAATTACAGGTGTATTTGCACATGCAACCAGGCATATAGACAACTCAACTCAACTGGGTGTATTGATTGTATCAATAGCGCTAACTGCAAGCGATTGTTATGTTTGATGTTGTTGTTGCTACTGGCATATGTTAGTTGTTGTACTATTTTTGTTGACCCTCATTTGAGTGTTTTATTTATTGCTCGTTTTTTCTTCTTCACCATCGTATAGTATTTGCTGTATGTACTACACGTCCGGTCGGAATTCAGGTTAACCCAGTGAGCAATTTCTGTGGTGATTTAAGAAATTAAATTTGCTAAATTTTTAATTATTCAATAAGCCGACATAAATACAAATAATAATATAAATAAAAAAGAAAATGCTAAATTTCTATAAATTTGCTGAAATAAGCCTAAATGTAGGCAATATTATATTATATATACAATTACTAAATGTTGCCTCAGCGGTTACAAAACGCCATTTTTTATTGATTTATTTTTAAATGGAAGAAAAAATTCAATTCAATCATTTATTGGAACGATTAAATGAATTTTCCGCGCCAAGCGTGCTTTTTTTCCAAATGAAATACGCAAAATATCTACAAATCTAAAATATTTACATAGAGAAAAGTCCGCGAAGTGAGTAATAATTATATGTTTTGTTGAAAAAGTTGGAGAAGAAATGAAAATTCGTTTACTATAATATAATAATTCTGCCAAAAATTGAGTTTTACACTCGAAACGTGTATGAGTTTGCTTAGGTCAGCCCAAATGTAGGCATTCATAATTCGTAGACTGCTGAAATACAGAAAGTAGGCTTTTGGCGAGTATTTTCGAAATGTATTACTCAAAATATTTGCTTACTCGACAAGGCTATGCAAATAAATAATGAAAATATCGAAGAGCAGTTACATAGATATTGGATTGGCACGTAAATTTGTTATGAATCAGCCTAGATGTAGGCAATAAAAAACTCGGGAATTGATGAAATGTTAAGTTAAGATTTATTTTTGCTTTTCATTGCAAACTGAATTTATGCACAAGTGTGAAAAGAATAAAAAAATCAGGTTTTAATATTATATTTCCAACCAAAAATCAGAACTTTACCGTCAAAATGATGTAAATATTTGCAAGTTTGCCGTAATGTAGGCTGAAATAAAAATTCTTTGTCAAAAAAAGTGTTAAATAATTATCTTGCTATTTAAAAGGTATTTCTTTAGAGGACGCTTTTAATATGAATTAATATTTTACATCATTTAGCAATTTTTATAAAAAAATCTTCGTTAATAAACAACCCATATTCGCCTCATTGAGCTGGCTATACTAAGCCATATTTTTTCCCTTCTCATTTACTTTGAAGAATCACTCTCCCCCTTTGGTTTTCTCAGTTAAGCTTCGCTTTTCATCCAATTGCTTGCTGGCTTAAAGCAAACTGGTCTCACGTGATTCTTTTGTAAATGCCATTGTGCTTGCGCGCTCAATAATTTAAATGACTTTTGTTATTTATTTATTGTTTTTTTTTTCTTAATTATATCATTTTTCTCCGCTGCAAATTCAGTTTTCCACTTTACGCACCTGACTTTAAGTGCATATCTTTTCGTTATTATTTTCTTGCACGCTTAATTGCCTGTTCACTTGGCTGATCGCGTCAGTGCGATAAATATGTACGACTGAGTGAAGACACATGTCCGCCCGTGCAGCAATGATTGCAATCATCTGTGCGGCGTTGGCCAGCAAAACTGCTACTGACCAAAAAATTACACGAACACTTGTCGAAAAATTCGTCCGTTGACAATGAATTATAAATGGAATGTACTCCTGAGTGCATATGTTTTTTTAATCAGTCGTATGAGTTCATTTTATTACCTTTGTGGAGAAAGATAAAGAAAATAATATTAAGTTTGCTAATAAACAGCGCAGTTGGTATGCAGAAACCGTAAACGAATCAAGCAAAATTCAAAAAAAAAAAAAAAAAACAATTTAAATTTCGGTCGTAAATTGTAAATTTTAAATGATATTTTTATGTATGTATGAACACTTTGTGACCAATAAAGTTACTTCAAATAGGAATTAAGTAATTAAAAAGGCATTAAGCGCTTATTTAATTAAGTAATTTGTTTTGAGCAGCGTTTATTTTTAACTTAAGCTCTTTTTTAAGATAAATAAATTATGTGTTTAATAAAAAAAATAATAATAATTAAAATAATAAAACCAAATTAATATGATAAAAGAAATTTAAAAAAATAAATAAATTTTAAATTTAATCAAAATTAAATTAAATTTAAATTCGTTATAAAAATTTAAGTAAATTTAAACCAATAATTAATAAATTTATTTTAACTTAAATTATGTTGAGAAAGTTTAATAAAATAAATTAAAACCAATAAATGTAAAAAACTTAATTATACTAATAAAATTAATAAATAATTTAAAATAAAACAAATAATACTTAAAAAAATGAAATTAAATAATTAAGTTTAAAAAAATTAATAAACAATAAAGTAAAATATATTAATAAAATTTAATTAAATTAAAACAAAGAATAAATAAATATTAAATAAATGGAATTAAATAATTAAACTTAAATTAAATAAAAAAATTAAATAAGAAATAATAATTAACTAAATGACATTAAATTAATAAAATTAAGTTAAAAGAAATGATTAATATACATTAAAATAAATTATGTTAATAAAATGATATTAAATTAAAATAACAAATAAATATTAAATAAACGAAATTAAATTAATATTTTTTAATTAAAACCAATATATTTAAGTGTAAACCAAACTAATTTATACTAATTAAATTAAAATAAAATAAAATAATAAATAAATATTAAATAAATAAAATAAATTTGATAAACTTAAATTAAATTTAAAAAAAATTAAATAAAAGATAAGAATTAAATAAATGTAATTAAATTAATAAAATTAATTTAAAATAAAATAATAAATGACAAATAATACTTAAAAAAATTAAATCAAATCAATATATTAAGTTTAAAAAAATTAATATAAAATTAAGTAAAATATATGAATAACATTAAATTAAATTGAAATAAAATAATAAATAAATATTTAATAAATGGAATTAAATTAATAAACTTAAAATAAATTTAAAAAAATTAAATAAAAAATAATAATTAAATAAATGTAATTAAATTAATAAAATTAAGTTAACAATTAACAATCAATTTAAAATAAGATAATAAATGACAAATAATACTTAAAAAATTAGATCAAATCAATATATTAAGTTTAAAAAAATTAATAAGCCATAAAGTGAAATATATTAATAAAATTAAATTAAATTAAAACAAAAAAATAAATAAATACTAAATAAATGTAATTAATGTAATGAAATTAATTTAAAACAAATAATTAATATATTGTACATTAATATACATTATGTTAATAAAATGAAATTAAATTAAAATAATAAATAAAAATTGAATAAAGAAAATTAAATTAATAAACTAATATTCAATTAAATTTAAAAGGTTAACGTTAATTAAAATAACTTAACTAAATAAAATTAAATAAATAAACAAAATAAAAAATTAATTAAAACTTAATAAATTAAATTAAGTTATTGATTTAAAATAAGTTAATTAAAATGAAAAAAAATAAATAAAATAATATTAAATTATAATAAAAATATAATATAATTAAATTAAAATAATTAGACTAAAGTAAAGGTTTCAAAAAAATAATTAATAATAAAAATAAATTAAAAACAATATTGAATTAAATTGAAATAACAAAAACTAAAAATTTTAAATAAAATTAATAAATCTAAATTATATTAATAAATTCAGTTAAATTAAGTTAAAATAAAAAAAGCAATTAAATAGATGAAATTATTTAGACAAACCTAAATTAAAACAACTAATTAATATTTATAAATGAATTTAAAATAAATTTAAACCCAAAAACTATTCAAATAAATTGAATTAAGTAAACTGAATTAAAAAACGTTGTAAACTAAGAAACTAAAAATAAATTAAATTAATATAGAATAAAAAATTAATAAAAACTAAATTAGAATAAAAGAGGAAATTAATAAATTTAAAATAAATAAAATAATTTAAATTAAAATTAAATTAAATAAAAAATTAAATTAACGCAAAACCAAAGTCAAATTAAAGGAAAAAAATATAAAAATATATAAAAAATTTTATTTTTGATTAGCCCTTAAATTTTTCTACATTTATAAACTTTTACTGCGCTTCGAAATAATAATTGCAGTTTTAATTAACCATGCAAAGTGTCAACTCAAACTAATTAATATTAAGTTTAAACATAAGAAGGAGGTCAAGTGCTCAACCTCCACTTTCAGCCAAACCAAGCAGCCAAAGCTGCCTCTAACCCTACACTATTTATTTGTGACAATTACAAAAAATATTTATATTTTTATAAACTTTCCGATGATAACATTTTGACTCCCTGAATTCCATAGTGTAGATTTACACTCATCACTAAATGAATGAATTCTGACACTCTCTGTGTTTACGAACCTAACCTATAAAATTATTATTAACTATTATTGACAATATCGATTACTCGTTGTAACAGCAATCGTTGCATTTAGCTTCGCCTAGCAAATTAAGCATTAAATATTCAACACTTTGACGGGAAAGGCGCGGCAAATGACAGCTGTCAAAATTACAGCCAATCCAACATCAAAGTGACAGAAATGTAGCTATTTCTTAACTGGTGGTCAAGTAGGGAGCGTTAATGAGGCACGTGGTCATATTACAGTCCCACTGAGACTCCACCCGCCTTCTCCTTTTATTTAGCAAAATGTTTATCAGAGGAAAACAGATTTAACTTTGTTTTCATCTACTATGACTTCCAGACCGAGCTGAAACTACTACTTCAAATACTACAATATTAGCACTTCAATCCATTTATTATTATTATTATTTTTTTATTCATCCAATAAAATATAAAACAATTCTACGAGCTTCAATCTAATAAAAACAATAAAATAATAAAATTTTATTTTCGATTTTTTGTTCACCTTTTAACACTAAAAATATTACTTTAAAATCTTTATTATGTTGCTAAAAAAAATTATTATTATTATTATGCCAACAACAACTGTTTTATTGCTTTACAATCGTCACTGCTCTAAAAATTCTTCAATCGTTGTCTGTAAGGCTATTTAACTGTAGTGGTTTTAGTGTAAGTGTAGCATAATATTTTATTGTGAACATGGCTTAAGCTTTTGGCATCTCTGATATCGATTAATGACCTTGCATTTCCTTAAAGCAATCATACATTTCTTAGTAGCGAATTGGTCCGACAAAGTTTGTCAGTTAAAATTTAAATTTAAATCTATTTAAACGCACAAAGTGCTTCTATAATATTTTAGTTATTGAAAGTAAAGTTTTTTTGACAGCAAGATAGTTAATATACACTTAAATTCGACACGTTGTGGCTACATTAATGTTTGCACGTATAAACCCATGACCCTGAACTGCAAAGTCACTAAAAACTAATGAATTTTTAATGCCTAAAATCAAAAGTGTTAAAACACTTAGTGACTTTTACTTTTTGCATACAAAAAAAATTACGGAGAACGTACATACATATGTATGTAAATACTTATATGGTAAATTAATTTACATTTTTTCTAAATACTTAATTAATTACGCTCGCTTTGATAGCTAAATTCATCAGCGACTCATAGACTAGAGGGCGTCAGACAATAAAGGAACACAGTGCGAGGGTTGCTTTTTTATATTCCGGGATTTAGCAATCTGGCAACTCAGAACTATATAGAACTATAGTAGTTTGATACTTTTGATATTATATATACTTGGAACATTTTGACATACGAGCGATATTTGTGTTGTTTACAGTAACTTAATATAAGTGGAATTAAATTGGGTTTATAACATTCGATGTGGATTAACTCAACAAGAGTGACTCGATGAGTTGAAACTCGCATCAGTACCGGTGTTTATCGATGATATGGTGAATTCAATCGAGGCCGTAGATCACTTCAAGACAAATTTCATTAAGGCCGTCCAAAATCATTTATTGTACCAGAAACTATTGATGATATTGCCAGCTCGAAATGTTAACCATTCTGATTAAGACATTTATAGGCATTAGAGGTGCCAGCAAAAAAAAATTGATCACATTGGTTTCTACGCGATTTTTAAATCTCTCAAAAAAGGCTCACTTCGATAGGTCGAGAGAAGAAATGCTAAAAAAAGACAATAACGACGCTTCCTAACACGTCTATGAGAACGCCACAGATGTTAAATAGTGGATTTACGCGTATGCGCCTAAAAGTAAACAACTGTCGGCTGTATAGGTGTTCGAAGTTGAGCCTAATCCAACAAAAGTTGCTCGCGCGCGAAGCACTTCGAAGCAAATACTTGACAGAAAAAGTGGACATGTCTCAGCCGTGTCACTAGAACAACACAAAACAGTAATTTCTAAGTGGGATGCAATCATATTTTTTCCCAATTGCCCATCAAGAAAACCAACCAAATAGAAGACAGATCACCTTCAGTGCTTGGAGTGCTGATTTGGCATCGAATGACTTCTTTTTACTCCAGGTTTTAGGTACCTGAAGGGGCGGTTGATGCGTTCAGAAGGCTTGTTTTGGAGCTGCCTCAGTCAGAGTAGCAATTAGTTCAAAGGCATGCTAAAGTTAAGTGAAGTGAAGTAAATGAATAAAGCGACTTTCGTTGTTTAATATTTGTTTTTGTTTTCTTACCGCGAAATATAAAAGGCCACCCTCGTAACATCGATCTTTTATAGTTAGTGGAGCGTAAGCTGTTTCACTGCACTTATAATATGTTAGAACCTGTTCTGTGGTTGTCATCAGCTGAGCTGAAAAGTCCATTCGTTAGGCATGTCACTCTAGTTCCGGGAACATACGAGTATGACAATTACATGCAATGTTTGTGCTGACGTCACAAATGTAACGAGTACGTGCGAGCTGTCACTTAATTTTCGAAAAGAAAAAATTAACTGGTTTATTTCTGTTGCTGTTTTTTATTATTTTTTTTTTGTTTTTTTTTTTTGCTTTTTTTTTGTTTTGCTTTTGGCGAAAAGCAGAAGTTCCGTGTAGCCGTCTTTTGTCACACAACTAACCGTCGTCTACCTGCATTCATTAAGCTATAAAGTAAATGCAACAGACAATGAGAAGATTTATGACCCAAACACACAACTCAATTAGACAATGAATTGTTGGAGCGCGTTATTAGCGCTGCTGGCTATTAACAAATTAGATTCTAAAGTAATTTGGTTTTTTATGGCGAACACTTTTAAGTCTCTTTTTTGCACCACTTTCATCAGGGCATTATAAATTATTGCGCTAAAATCGATTTGGTTATGCCAAATATTTGAATTAATCGTGACTTGCGCGTCAGCGCGTGGTGCGGTTGTTTGAGGTTTTGGGGAGGGGCGAGGGGCGCGGGAGCGCGCCTTGCAAGCCATTAGTAAAGGATGGTTTACTTTTCAGCAATTGTATTATTTATGGAATTTTTTTTAATTAATTTTTTTTTTTCTACTTTGATATTTGCATATTTCAGTTTTAAGTATTTTTGCTTTCTTAAAAAGATCACGTCTCGTTTATTGAGGCACGAAGTGGCTTAGATGTATATGTAAATAGGCCGCGGGCTGCCTCTCTTTAGCTATAAATTAATTTAATAATAATTTTTATATATTTTAAACGTAATTTGCATCTCCTTAGCCCCTTTTTTTCTATATAAATAAATGTTTTTTTATGGCTAAACCGCCTCTAAGTGAAAAATCACGACTTTTTCGTAACGTCCGATATTCGAGTTGAGCCACTTGTGTATTTGACTGTAGCGAAATAGTCACGACAGCAACGAGTTGAGCCGATTTTTGCATTCAAAAAATATCAATTTAACTGCGCTTCACGTGCAATTCATGAAGCTTATTCTCCTTCTTTACTCGTAGAAACCGCAAACGCGATTATAGCCGTCATTGGTTCCTTCCTTTCACTATTTGCCGGCGATCGGACAAACCAGGTACTGGCCGGTCCTTCCATACTTGGTATTTCAAAAGCAGTATAAGCCTTGCTCATCCTCTAATTCCACCGACGGAAACTGCATCGGAAACTTTCAAAGCTGTAGTATTTTTATCCATCGGGTCTCTTGATTCGTTGAACTATCGCAATGTTGACGTATATCTCGTTCGATCGACTACGATGCATCCCGTGGGGATGACTATAAATACTACCCTTTGACTCGAAAAGTACTAACACCGGCTGATTAGATACTTTCCTCAACCATGCCTCGGCATCATGTAGCAGCAGCACGAGAATGATGAGCGACTCGTAGAGTTTGGTCTTTGTGCGTCGAAAGAGGACTTTACTTTTCAATTGCTCACTCGGACCAAAGTAGCACCTGTTGGTAAGAGTGATTCTGCGTTGGACTACTGTAGAAGTCTAAGAAAGTCCAGGCGTTTGGGAAGGTCAAATGTGAGTAAAATGTCTCCCTGCGCCAGAACCGTAGCCTCATTTCTTGAAATTATACATTAGAATAGAAAGTCGTCTTTTCTACTTAAAGGCTGTGTCAGGGTTTATTGTTTTGTACCTTCCCGTCGCGCCAGTTGATTATGCGAAGGCTTTTGCCCGCTCTTTATTCGCTTTACTTCCCTAAGTCTCTTGCAAAGAGCTTGAGGTGAACAAAAACGAATTGAAACTCCTTAACAAATTTTTCAGACTCTTGGTAGGATAAGGCAGATCCCACAAATACTAAGATGCAAGTCATAATTTCGAGGAGAGATTCGACTGATGTATTCTCGTACGACTTGATGATTGACTTTAAGAATCTTCTGCTACCAAACAAATATTAAACCTTTATTCTTCTGCATCCTTTCAGCAACGCAATCCACTAATTGCACTGTTCTAATCGATGGCAATCGAGAAACTCGAGAAATTGGCGCCATTTGGGTTTCCTCAGAAGACGCCTGCGACATACATAGCTGCGAGCAGGATGATAGTGGCCAGCCCCGAGAAGCCATAACGAAGGTAGACTGTGGACAATTCTATTGCGATGTGGTAAGTATTGAGCAGCGCTTTACACGCACAATAGAAGCAGCAGCAACTTTACTCATGTATGTCCCCTCTCTATCTAACTCTCTGTAGGATTCCGAGCTGCGTCCACAGCCGGGCAGCTGTTGTGGCGAATGTGTGCGTACGAAATGTCGCTTCAACGACACCATTTACGATTTGGGTCAGACCTGGCATAGCCCTGATGGTTGCACGATGTACGAATGTGCGCCACTCCCCGACCGTTTCACCGTCACACCCATGGTAAATGTATTTGAGAAGACCTGTGCACCGCTCCCACTAGACTGTCCACGTGAACAGGTTTATGTGAAGGACTGTTGTCAGCAGTGTCGCGGCAGTGAGGCAAATATGGCGCGCAACAACGTACGCTTGCCGGAATTGCGCGAAGAGAATGGCGATATTTGGACGGAAGAGTTTTATCGCAATCATCCTTGTGCGCGTGAATGTCAGCTGAATGCCGCGCCGATGACATGTCGTTACAACTTCGTCGTTGAATGGTATGAGACCATGTCGAAGGCCTGCTATGGTTGTCCACAAAATGGCACAGACTGTGCTAGACCGCACTGTGTACTCGGTGATGGCATTGAACGTAGCGTGATGGTAGTGAATCGTATGATGCCAGGTCCGGCGGTTGAGGTGTGCGAGGGTGATACGATTGTGGCTGATGTGCATAATCATCTGCTAGGCGACAGTACCACCATACATTGGCACGGTATGCATCAGCGCAACACACCGTACATGGATGGCGTGCCACACATCTCGCAGTGTCCCATCTCACCACATTCCACTTTCCGCTATCGCTTCCGCGCCGAGAATCCCGGCACACACTTCTGGCATTCACACACCGGCATGCAGCGTGGTGACGGCGTATTTGGGGCCTTCATTGTGCGTCGGCCGCGTGCCAAGGAGGCGCATGCGCATCTTTATGATTTCGATTTGTCCAAACACAAGATTATCTTACAAGACTGGGTGCATACGCCGGGCGTAAGCATCTTTGCATCGCATCACCATTCACGCGGTGACAATAAGCCGGTGAATCTGTTGGTGAATGGACGTGGACGCTTTTATTACGCTATATGGGACCAAGTCAAGCAAGCAGCGCGTGCTGAAGCTCGTTCTAATGCACCCAGCTTAAGAGTGGAAGAAAATGAAACACCGATATCGCCACAAACTGCAGCTCCTCCGACGACCACCACAACACCATTAACTTTTATTGTCAACCAGGCTGAGAACAAAGATCCACTCGATGTGGCACCCTCCCAGATTGAACTGCTACAACCGACAAATGAATCTGGTATAAGCAATATGCGTCTTCGACAGAGTAATGAAGTTTTAAGGCTAGCGCGTGTCGCGAAACACGAAGCTCCCCAAATGAACAATAACTCCGCTCCGACGCTCAATTCGGACTTTACAAAGGCAACCACCAGTGTTCATCGCACGAAACGCGCACTGGACGATATACCATTACAACATATGCCACTTCAAACCTACAACGTACGTCGCGGCTTCCGCTATCGCTTCCGCATCATCAACGCCGAGTTCCTCAACTGTCCCATCGCCTTGTCTATAGATAATCACACACTCACCGCCATACACTCGGACGGTTATGATGTTGAGCCGCTCGAAGTTGGCTCCATTGTCACATACGCCGGCGAACGCTTCGACTTTATCTTAAACGCCAATCAGCCGATCGCAAACTATTGGATACGTTTTAAGGGGCTAATGGATTGCAGTGATCAGTTCACGTCGGCTTTTCAAGTAGGCATATTGCATTACGAGGGCGCAGGCGATGAAGAGCCCAACGGTGTTTTGGGTTGGCAACACAAGGCGGAGGGTATCGAGTTGAATGCAATGAACAGGGGCTCTGGTCACCCGGATTCTTTGACTGCTGCCGAGATGACAGCACTGCCGATCTACGATACTGTGCCGGGTGTGGATCGTGATGCGCTCAAACCTGTGGCCGATTATAAATTCTTCGTCTACTATGATTTCTACGCAAAGGACAACCCAGATTTTCATCCAAGTGATTACTACAGTTTCAACGACACCATGGGCTCAACAAATAAGGTATACACACCACAACTGAATCACATCTCACTCAAGTTTCCGCCGATGGCTCTGATGGCCGAACGCAATAATGTGGACGACTCGCTCTTCTGCAATGAGACAAGTCTCGCGCAACAAGGTATCGACTGTCGGAAGGAGTTCTGTCACTGTCATCACGTGCTGCAGGTGCCGCTAAACTCCGTTGTCGAGCTGATTGTGATCGATGAGGGCTTCACTTACGATGCAAATCATCCCTTCCATTTGCACGGCAATGCCTTTCGTGTTGTGGGTTTGGAGCGTTTAGGCGCCAACGTGACCGTAGAGATGGTACGTATGACCAAATATTTTTCCTTTTCATTTCTCACACACTCTCTCCCTTTCGTCCTCCATGCAGGTCAAACAATTGGATCGCTATAATTTACTCAAACGAAATCTCGACAGACCACCAGTCAAGGACACAGTCACTATACCGGACGGCGGTTACACCATAATCCGCTTTGAGGCTTACAACCCCGGCTTTTGGCTCTTCCATTGTCACATCGAGTTTCATGCGGAAATCGGCATGGCGCTCATCATCAAAGTTGGTGATAACGATCAAATGCTGTCGGCGCCAAAGAACTTTCCAACGTGTCATGATTACATGCCCATGGATGGCGATGACGACGATGATGATAGTGGTGGTCATAGTACTCCGGACGGCGGCGATGACAGCAATAACAGTGTAACCACTATCGCGCCGGGCAATAGCGCGTACGTAACGCTAAGTTCGCGAAGCTACAGTTTGCTGTCTGCTTTCTTTGCGTTGTGTTCAGCGCGCTTTAACCATTTAGCAGCTGCTGTGGGCTTGCATTGACCGTGGTTTGAAGCAAATGTCAGCTGCAGGGATGACGGCTTCAGTGTTAAGCTCTGTGTGCTTAAGTGTACCTTTCAAGTTTTTAGATATTTAAGTAAAAAGGCTTTCAAGAATAACTGTGATTAATTAGTGTAGTAAATTTATTGATAATTTGATTTAAAAAAATGCTGATTATTTGTACACGTACATATAAAACGTTTATATATTCAAATATGTATTATAGCTCATGACATCGAAGGTCAAGTTTTTTATATGCAATAAAAAATTAATAAAATAACCAAAAATGCATGCGATTCCTTTAATAAAGTTGTTGAGAAATCCAAATGATTGAGCAGATAAGCAAAATATTGCTGAGAGCGCAGAGAGATTCATCTGAGAGAATTTTGCGTGCAGTAGAAAAATGTGGTAAACTTTTAGGCGCATAAAATAAATTTTTTGGATTTCTCATCACAATTGCTAAGAGCCTCAACGAGCGCACGGAGAATAAGAAGAGACTAGAAGGCAGATGGAGTACAAATATAAGGAAGGTTGTTTGAATGCAAAACTTATTAGCGGAACTATAGCAGTAGATTCAGTGCCGTCAGACTACTCCATTAAAAATTAATTAATAAATAATAAAAAATTACAGAAATGACTAAAATAAAATATTTATTAAATATATGTAAGTATATTCGACTGACCATTTATTTCCGAAAATATGACTGGCAAGCCCCCCAACCAGCCAACTGGGCTAACTGGTACTCAAATTTTGCCTCTGTGTATGGCACATTCCTTTGCCAAAGTTGATCCAAAATCCGCGCTGCACACCTATCCAGGGAAAATCTGTGTTTCCAGTAAATTTCATTTTCCGTGGAATTTTTCAAAGTCGCTGGTTGCGGTTGTTTTAACGGACAATCGAAGTGGGTAGAATTCGCAACTTTCGATTTTGGTTTGCCATCACTATTTATGGCCATGCAAAGCTGCTTTTCGAATTGTAGCCGAATGCCGGATATATCCAAATCACGTTGCCATACCAAGGCATCTAACAGACGTTGATTTGTTATTGGCACCTTGGAATTCAGTTTGTGCCTTAAATATTCATTATATGCTGTCTCGTTCTCGCTCAGCTGCTCGATTAAATCGGCCAAGTCCTTGACACTATGAAAATCGGATATATAGAGCGCTGAGCGATTATGGGGCTGCCAATCCTGATAGCAAGAAAAGTCGCAAAAATCATTTTTGGAACAGCAATTACTAAGAGTAAATATGTCAGTTATGTACCCGTATTGTTGGTGAACCGTAGTATATGGGTATGGAGCCCGCGGTTAACGCCTGCCAATATCTACTTGATATATAATCGCTACAGGTGACATCCTCGAGTACAAGAGTGAATCTATAGATTGACATAAAGCGTACCACATCGATCTCATGCCTAAACCTAAGCAGCGAAAAGGGAGAAAAAGAAAGAAAACAGAGTAAATAAATTAAAAAGAAAGAAAAAAAAGAAAACAGAGTAAATAAATTAAAAAGAAAGAAAACAGAGTAAATAAATTAAAAAGAAAGAAAAAAAAGAAAACAGAGTAAATAAATTAAAAAGAAAGAAAAAAATTCAAAAAATACAAAAACAAAATTCAATTTTAAAACTTAAACCAAATAAATAAATATAAAATGTAAACATTTAAGGAAAAAATTAAATCACATTAAAAGGAATTAAAAAGAAAAACAATAATATATAATAATAAATAATTAGCAAATGTAATAAAAAAATAATATATTATAAAATAAATTAAATAAAATGAAATTAAATTAAACAAAAGAATATTAATAACAAATAATTTATAATGGAATAATATATAAAATTAATCAAATATTATTATAAAATAATAGTAAAAATTAACTTTAATTAAATTAAGTTAAAATAAATAAAAAAGCGATATAAAAAAATAAAATAAAATTTATTCAAATTAAATTAATTTACATTTATACGGATTAAAATTAAATTAAATGCAATTATATAAAATAAATTAAAGCAAAAAATATTAAAAAAAATAAAGTAAAATAAACTAATATTTAAAATAACTATTAGATATCATGAAATAAAATTAAATTGATGTAGTGGAAGTAAAATATTTTATACGTCAAATTAATTAAATTTAATCAATGAATTTGAAATAAATTAATGTTACATGTTAAATTTAAAAATAAATTTAATATAATATAACATAAAAAAGTAAAAATAAACTTATATTAAATTCAAATAAAATAATATAATATTAAATTAAATAAAAAATATATTACATAAATGGAATATAACAAAATAAAAAGTAGTGATAGGAAATAATTTAGAATAAAATTAATTTAAATGAAAACAAATTAGAAAAATAAGTTTTATCAGTAATATAATATTTAAAACATATCAAAAATATTATATAATATAAAAAGCTATAAATTAAATTTAAACAAAATAATATATAACAAAATAAAATTAAATGTAAAATTAATTACACAAAATAAAACAAAACCAAATAAAATAAATGAAATAATTTGGAATAAAATTATTTAAATTAAAAGAAAATAAAAAATAATTCGTTGATTAAAAGAAAATAAAGTAATAATATATAACATAAAACATAAAGAAATTTAATTTAATTTATTTTAAATAAAATAATATAAAATTAAATTAAATTAAACAAAAAAATGAATTTCATTATATTAATATAAAATTACATATTTTAAATTATTTAAATTAAAATAGACCAAATTAATATGGTGTAGAATAAAACGAAATTACTATAATTAAACTAATTATAATAAAGTAATTTGTAATAAAACAAAATTAATTTTCTTAAATTAAGATTAAAGAAAATTAAATATTATAATTAGAAAAAAAATTTAAAAAAATTAAAATTAAATTATACGAAATGAAATAAAAAAATTAAAAAAAGTGGTTGTTGTTGTTGAAGCCCCAAAAATATGCCCCAATTAAAATAAAGTTATTTAATATGATGTACGCAAAATTAAATTATTTGAAAGAAAATAAAATTAAATTAAATTTAGGTAAAATCGTATATTAAATGGAAGAAAAAAATTCAATTTAATATAAAAAAAAACAAAATTTAACTTGATATATAATTCAACTCAAGAGAAATAAAATTAATTCAAATAAAAATGTTTAATATAAAAAGGTAAAAATGGAAAAGCATTGTATTAAACTAAATTAATTTAAATAAATATCAAATAAAATATATACTGAGCAATCAAATTAAGTTGAGTAATATAATCATGTTGAGTAATGAGTAATCACATTGAATTAATGGATTAAATAAAAAAAGTTTTAAGAACTGATATACAATCGACACTGAAACCTTGCGCCTAAAAATATACAACGATATGTAGCAAAGAAAAACTTTCACGTTAAAAAATTGTGAGCACAGAACGTTACACATACTTAAATATACTACATACATACAACAATATACCACTTCATTTTTATGTATGTATGTATGTATGCACGAGCAACACATATACAAACTTACCGCGTCGCATCCCGATTACGTAAACACGATCCACACGAGTACACCGGCACATAGCTCATTAATTCGCGTACATAATTCTCACGACTGGACATTGTATTACAATTATTTTCCATAAATAACACCGAAATTTCAGATTTATCCTCAGACCTACGCAAAAATAACGGATTAACCAAATCCGCTACATTGGAGAGTGTATGCAGCGTTAACGGAAAGTCACTGTAACGACTAAATGTGGAAGTATAATTGAAATAACGCAACAATTCGCTGAAAAATAAGATCGTCCTATTCGCTGGTGATCGATCATACAGTAGCGCCCACAATTGAAAGGCATAACGTGGTAGCGGCATATCAAGCACATCAAACGAAATGCCATCGAATAAAATGACCTAAAGGGCAGCAGGTTTATAACACAAGCATGTATGGATGTATGTTAAGGATTACGGAAATTAATGTCATACTTTTGCTTCTTTTAACCGCAAGCGATCGTTGGTTATCGTGCACGTATAGTAACCACAATAAATGTTGCGATAAAATAAAGGCTCGTTGGTGTCTGTCCACCAAAGCAATATGCGTGGTTCATAAGGATTAAATATTTCTCTCTTCGAATTTTGTTGCCACATGTAAATCTAAGCAGGTAAGCATATATGTAGATTATTTTGTATATAGAGCTATATAAATTAGCAAAAAACTTACCAACAACACGGCGCATGCGCAAATTAAACAGCAAAATAACGCTAAAATTTTGCTTCGTCTGCCACACGAACGACACTTCTTGCCTAAGCGCGATTGGCAAATGTGCCTTAAATGCATTACAGTTAATGTATTTATGTGAATATTAAAAAGGTATGTTTGTATGTACGTTTACAAAAAAAAAGGAATTTTAAATATTTTTTTGGTAAAATTATTTCTAATTGATTTTTCGAAATGATTAGAATGCATGATGTATACATATACATATATTTTCTCGAACACAAAACAAGCAGTTATATTGTTTATGTAACATTTTTATATATGTATATACAACTAAATATGTATACATATTTACATATATGTATTTATATAATAGCTAAAAAGCATTTGGTTTTCAAATTACTAAAAATCATAATAAAATATATACATACATTAATTTATATAAAATTTACATATGTATATATGTATATACATATGTATTTAGTTTATATTTAATAATTATGTACAAAACTCAAAGTTTTTCATTTACTGCACTTCAAAAGTGACAATGTAATCTTTAGTATTATAGATTTGGCTATTATGTGTGTATGTATGCATGTGCCTTCGGGCCGCACCAGCACCGCGCATTTTATTAGCACAATTCATTTTTCATTCTCACATCGGCCATGTCGGCCATTTCTTGTGGCGTAAATCTGCGATTGCGATGCAATAATTCATCAATGGTTTTCGCCACACAAGCGGATCTCTTCATAAGCTCATCCCAATTGCGTATTTCTGTCGGTTCACTCTCCATGGGTGGATATGTGAATGGTAGTGGACAATTATAATGCAAACGATTAGCCATTTTCCCCTTTGGGGTTTGCGCCCACATCGCTTGCAATACCTGGCAGGCAAAATTTGTGAAAAACATTATACTGTCGGCGCGCACATAGGATGACTCCAGTAAGCGTTGATTTGTCACTGGCTCAATTTGATTATATTTATGATGTAAATATTTGATATATTCATTATCATTTTTATCCAATTCCATGATATATTTGGCTAATTCTTTGGGATTTTTGTAGTCCGTGACGTGGATGGTAGAATGATTGTGCGGCTCCCAATCCTGAAAGGCAATCGATGATTGATGAAATATACAATAAAATTAAACGAGTATCAAGCAGGTCTGCAATTCTTACACGTATCGATGGTGAGCCAAAGTAAATGGGCACAGTGCCGGCAATCAATGGTCGCCAAAACTTTTCGGTTATATAATCTTCACAAACGCCATTCTCAATACTGATCATGAACTTATACTGTCCGATGAATTTATAAATATCGTTTGAATGTAAGCGATTGAGATAGTTCTGTTGTAAGCTGGAAGAAAAACATATTTGAATTAATTAATAATTTTAATTTATTTCATTACAAAATCTATATGAAGCTGAGTTTCAGTGAATCTTTAATACAAATTTTTTAAATTCCTAAAATTTAGTTTTTAAATATATTTACTTTATTACTTTATTTATTTACTTCTCTATTACACATCCAAAGTACCATTCCATGCACACTTGTACTTTGAATCAAATATTCGACGATATCAATTTCAAAAAAAAAGATTTTTTTTAACAAATTACTAGCCAAAATTCTCAGAAAAGTAATAAAAAATCAATTTGCATTAAAGCAAAATAAAAACAGAAAAAAAGTTTGTTAGTAAGCGAGAATCGACACCGTTTATTCATCGAAAAACCCGAAGGAATTCGACTAAAATCAGCCACTTCGTCCAGTATGCCACGTCAACGACGCAACAAGAAGGTGCACGTCGACATTCCCAGCCGGTCTGAACGCCACCAGTGCCCGCCTAATCGCTACAGTTTGCGCCCTTCACGTGTATTTTCGCTCGCCACGCGCTCGCCGCCTAAATTACAACAACTACCGAGTGCATATTCACCTGTCATACGCCAGCAAATACCACACAGCCGTAGTCGTTGCATACGCACCCGTCAAAATAGTCGACGCAGCACCACCATTGATATAGGCAACAATGCCGTGTGGAAAACACTAGTACATCCCATATCCATACTCAAATGGTTACCTATACGTCGCAGCGTACGTCGACGGCGTAGTCGACGCAGTCGCAATCGTCGTAGTCAACGTCAAACTAGTGTTAGCTCAATAAAAGTAGACAGCCGTACACGCGCGCCTGCAACTGAGATCGAAATGCCTTGTTGTGCCACGGAGTCGCCCACGGCGGAGACTCAAATACATATGACCGCGACCAATGAGGATGTGTGCTCCCAGCAACGAAGTTATGAACAAATAACGCCGCCACTAAGTACTGTTATATTGCATCACAATCCACTCTTCGATGTTGAGGGTAATACACAGTCCGGTTTGCTGGGTAAACATTTTTTACAAATGGCAACCATCAATCAGGTTAAAAGTATCTGGCCGGTGCAGCGTGCACAAACTTCAAAGCAAAAAGTGTCCAGTAGTGATGAAATTCAGGAAGCAACAAAGCACCAGGATGCAGTGAAAAAGAAGTCTAATTCTGCTATGGAGAAGCGAAGGCCAGCAAAAAAGGATAGTTCGGAACATTCAATGCCACCTTCGAAAAACCCCTCAGTTTCGCTCTCAACAGTGGCTAGTAGCGAGCAGTCGAAAAGTGATTCGGAGGAAAGTAATTCGTATGAAGAAAATATTCTTTTGGCGGCGCAAGATTCGCCGGGTATTATTGTGGCACCACTGGCAGAACTGTGTACCAGAAGCTGCACCCAACAGCCTAGACAAGTGCTGGCATGCAATAATTCGGCAGAGCCGTTAACGATACTGGATTTGACGGTGCCAATAGAATTGAACGATGAGCCTGGGTGTAAAGGGACAACGAACGATGTTGAAACGAGCACAAATATTACGCACTCAAATGTTGAAGCTATGCTTGCAGATTAGCTCGGATAACTGAATTTTGTATTTTTTAATTCATATATATGTATGTATGTATCTGTCGTAGATGTAAAATAATGCAAAATAAAAACGAAATATGAGACCATAAAGAATTAGGCTTTTATAGCCGCACTGTTATGATCGAACCAGAAAGCAATTGGATTTATTAAAAAAAAAAAAAACACTTGAATAGCCTTTCCCAGCAAGGACGATATAAATAAAGTGATTTCGCATACCGTCAGAAAAATACCTCATTTATTAATTGAACTTCACTTACCTCTCCGGCATGTCACGATTTTTCAAACACTGTCCATATGAGTCAACCGGTATATGTTTCATCAACTCTTCTACATAATTTGTACGCGCCGACATTGTTGAACAATCCGATTGTAGAAAGAGTATGGGCGCTAATGAAGCACGCGCAGCATTTTTCTGGCCTAAAGTTACCACATACTGCGGATTGGTAATCTCGGATATGTTAGTTAAAGAATTTGTCGTCAAGGGAAAATCGCTGTAGCGACTAAAAGTCGATGTGTAATTAAAATGTTGTATAACTTCTTCAAACAGAAATTCCGGTACATTGCGTGGTGATTCTTCATGTAATAAGGCCCAAATTTGACCGGGCAGTCGTGGTAACGGTAGGTCATTCCATGCTAACGAGCTGGCGTAGAACATTATCACCTACATTGGTTGTATACATATGTTAAGTAAAGAATATATGCACATATTATTAATGTAAGGAAAAAATATAAAGACATTAGCATACCTTAGCTTGCGAAAAGTATTTCCGGTTAGTTGTTGTAAGACATGTATTGTAACCACAAAGAATTTGATCTATATAATTTTCTCCCGGCCCTAAATCAGTCCACCATAGTACCACACACGGTACACTCTCAGCCGCTGATGGTTCACTCTCCGTTGTACAGGCATGATGCGAATGACACTATTTGGTTTGAAACAATTTAGTACGAAAGATATTTTAGATATTATTTTTTATTAGTCCTAGGTATGTATGTATGTGCAATTACTTACGCCCAAATACCAAACAAGGATTAATCCTCCAACGAAAGCGATTAAGAGAAATGTACGCTTTGCAAATGTTAATGGCAAATATCTGCTTTTGAAAGGCCACCAAAAACTCATTTTAAGAACAATAGCTGATTTTTTTCTTTTTTTCTTGCTAATATCTTTTGACGAAAGTTTTCAATTGAATTCGAGTTGGGCACACAAATATATTTAATATTTTATGAGTTATGCGCCATCAAAACGCTGTTTAAATGCATAGTAAAGTCATTTAAGACTACTAAATTCTTTCTCAAGCCACTGGCTCAGCGACTTAGAGCTTATCGCCATAGCCAACGAGCATATATCCACAAAGTATTGACTCTGCTGCTTACCAAATACATTATTGCAAATATAAATATAAAACGCAGAAAACACAAAACGCCGGGAATATATACGTGTGTATTTACTCAGCTTTTTCTTGTTAAAATAACGAAGAAATACCGAGGCGAGAAATGAGCCGCGGTGATATTTGAGTTCTTATCACAAAAATACTTTTCAATTGAGTAAATTATAGTCTGATTGGTTCTATTGTTTTCAAAATCGAATGTTTTGCAATATAAACAAATCGTCTCTTTGACTCTCTAGAAACAGCTGATTACATTATGACGCAGAATCGAGAATAGTGATGTTTGAAAATTGTAATACTTTACAAATCAGGTACAATTAAGATTCATCCGAAATAGTACCGTAATAGCTCATTATTATGGATCAATTCAATTTTAAAATGCATAATATCATGGAAGATGTTAACACGAGGCACAAATGAAATAAAAAAGCATGAGAATCTTATTTTATAAATATATAACTGGGAAAAACTCTACCAACAGCTAATCATCCAAGAAATTCTCTCAATTCCGGTTTATTACTTTAATTTTGGATATTTTAAATGGCGTTGGCGAAAACAGAGATAGAGGAAGAACCTCAGTCCGCTGGTAAAATTAAAACTTTTGTATTTTAAATTAACATCGAATACATAAAATAACAACAAAAGCACAACTTAGGTCTAGATATTGTAGCAAATTAAAATCCTACTCGCACGAACCTGACCACCTCTTCACATATCCCCTTAAACCGACTCATCTAATCCCTTCTCCCTTTGGTCCAATCCCGTCGAAACCGCTCGTTTCCTTGATCTTCCACTAGGTGACTTCGGCGATTTAGATTGATTAAACCTGTACCTAAGCGGGGTTAGTGAACCACAACAACAACAACAACATAATTCTAAATCAACTTCTCAACGACTTCTGCCAAAAAACGGTAAATAAATATCATTTACAAATAGTTTAAACATTTTATTATTATTAGATGTTCCTATGAAATCTTTTAACCGTTTACCAACACTTATCTTTTATGTAAACATGTCAAATTGATGACGTTCCCCATTCAATTGACAAATACACGTCTTTGCTGTTTTGAACGAAGTGACGAGAAAAGTGTTTTACACTATTTTGCATTTATAAGTGCTTGATTAATTTTAAAAAATACAGAGAGAAGTGTAGAAGAACGTCACCAGTTAATATGCTTGTGCGACATATATAAAAAGCAGTTAATTAGCCAGGAAACGAAGGAAGTACTACCTTTTGACTGAGTAAAGCAGCTGGCAATTTTATCGTGTGCGAGTGTGAAAAAAAATAAAAATTGTTGCATGAACGCACTTCATCACGATAGAATTGCATATCATAAATTATGGCCACAACACAAAACAAAGTTAACCCGTTAACTAGTGGGGATGATGTGGCGGATGTTACGAAAAATAGCACACATATTGGAGCAACGAAACAGTTGTCAAGTGCGTCGGCATTAATGACTAATCCAACGTTGCATACGCGGTGTTGGGAGACTTGTTACTACTGCCCCTGCGAAGCGTTTAAAACTTCTGCTGATTTCGTGAAGTACGTGTGGCCAAACCTTTAATGGTTTAAAGTCCTATTAATTGGATTTAATGTTTTACTTTTTTTTTTGCAGACACTTGCGTGAACGTCACTGCACCCGTGAGGGCGGCTCATATGTTTGCCGGTATGGTTTTAATGGAGTTTGCCCTTCGCTGCCATTAGATGGCGTTTCAGATCGTGATTATGATGCACATGTCGCCAAATATCATGTGAATCAATTGACACGTGAGTTGCCACCGGAATGGTCAGTTTTTTCAGCAGCTCAAAATTTACCTGCCGTACTTAATGATCCATCACGTGGTAAACAAAGTAACCTATTCACCAAAAAGTGGGGTGACCATTTCGTTGAGAAAACACATATACCGCCAACGCCACGTTTGCCTGAAATCACCTATGCAGATTTTGATAAGTATATAACAAAAATCGGTAAACGCTACAGACGTCATGAGCGTATGTGCGCACAACAGACACCAGCCGCTTTAGCGGAACGCGAAGCGAAAACTCCCACTTCACCGACACACACTGTCAGCCTTAGCGCCATACCGGAGATATTCCTCAAAGAGCAACTGAACTTAAACCATCCAGCGACTTTTGCGCTAGTATTTCCCAGCGTCGGTGCCTCCGCTAGCGAAGAGAATAAACAGACTGGTCGTTTACTGCAAGAGCAATTATCACATTATTTAGATATTGTGGAAGTGAAGATAGCGCATCAAGTATCACAAAAGTCGGCAGCTTTCTTTCATGCGATGACCTCACAAGATGCCATTATGGCTGAGATGAAAGAAGCTGCGCACAATGTACGTGAATTGCGTGCCTCGTTGCGCACGCTACACCAATCGGCTGTGATTGACTCGTTTCGGGTGATGCGCTTTGCGCAGCGGAGACAAAACTTTGACGAGATGTTGGATAAGCTGAGCCTAATGGCGACAGTGCATAAAACACAACCAATGTTACAACTTTTGCTTGGTACACAAGACTATGTGGCTGCGTTGGATCTAATAGGTAATATAATTACATTTTGTATATTAAAATTTATTAATATATTTTTGCCAGGCACAACACAAGAGATATTAACGCAAGAACTCATTGGTATACACTGCTTCAAGCATTTGCCCATGCAGCTAACCGAAATGGAGAAATTAATTGACAAAATGCTAACAACAGAATTTGAGCGTTACGCAACCGCTGACCTCAACCGGCCGCTCTGCGATGTGCTCAACGAAACTGAAAGCGTATGCGCGGAAGAAGATAAATTGGTGTGTATCGTAATGGGTTTGCTGCGTAAAAAGAATTTCTCGTTTGTCACCTCCTACAAAGACGAAGCAATAGTGACCATACGTGCCATCATCAAGCAACTTGTTATTGAGGTGATCGCTTCCAGCGATGCAGAGGTGTGCCTAACTGGCGCCGGTGAAGAGGCACAAAGTCTCTCTATAAGCGAATGGATTGCGCTACTTAAAAAGGCTACAGTGGCTTTATTAACAGTACTGCAACGTATACGTGCTGTGACTGGTATAATGCGGCAAACGACTGATGCCGCTGCTGGTCGTTGCGGCCCGGCTGCGAGTGGCGCACAGGAAGGTGGCGTCAATCTGATAGATTCTGAAGCATTTTTAACCGCCGCAGATCATGCAAATGTGACAGAACGTCTGGATGGTTTGCTAATAGCAGTATGCAATTATTGTCACGAACGTTGCGTGAACTTGGTGTCGACGCAGAGTTTGGAGCGCGCTGTGGCCACCGCGGATGATATTGAGCAACTGACGGCTATTGTTAACGAATTCAGCGCAGGTTGTGAGGAGATTTGTGGTGCAGCAAGTGTGCCGTTGAAGGTATGATGCCCTGCTTATAGCATGAAAAATTAAATTTACATCACCAATTTTTACAGGTCGCAGCTAAAGTGCAAGCTTCACGTTTCGCTAATCGTTTTCACGCCGAACATAAGCAAAAACTCGGTTTACTGCTCGATTCGGAACGTTGGCGTCAAGTGGACATACCCAATGAATTTCAAAAGATTATCGATCGCATGGGCGCACAAGACTTCCAGCAGCCCGTTAGTAAATCCTTCGCTGAGGGTTTGGGCACAACATTAAATGGTCACAGCAGCGGTAGCAGCGCCAGGCCACCAGCGAATCCCGTGCTACTAGTCGAAGGCAAACCATTTACGCTAGTCAGCGCCGCTCTGCTGTTGGTGCAAATGCTCAGCGACTACTGCCATTGCGCCACACGCCTGCCCATACTTGCTGGCTATTTGTCACGCAACGTTGTCGACTTGCTGCGCACATTCAATTCACGCTCCTGTCAGCTAGTTATTGGTGCTGGCGCAATGCGTGTGGCCGGTCTGAAAACAATCACAAGCACCAATCTGGCATTAGTCTCACGTGCACTGCAATTGGTGCTTTGGCTTTTGCCGAAAATTAAAGCGCATTTCGCCAACTACGACGCGAATGCAGTATCCGGCTTTGATTCGATCGAGAAGGACTTTCACAGTCACATTAAAGAAATTGAAAATAAAATCTACAGCATTGTTACGGAACGTGTTTCTGCGCAGCTAGAACAGTGGGATGCACGACCGCCCATACCATCGCAAACGTTCCGCAATATATCGCGCCATTTGGTGAAGTTGCACGAAGCCATCGCGCCGATACTGCCCGAACAGCAGATACACAGCATTTACGGTATTGTGCATCGCAACTTTAAGGATAAGTTGAGAGAACAACTTTTGAAATTGAACATTATCAATAATGGTGGGCCACAACATGGTGTGGTGACGTCAGAGCTGACATTTTATATGGAAACATTGCGTACGCTGAAAGCGCTGCCGCCAATGGAATTGAGCGATGACATATTGGAGGCGATATGGAGTTTTTAGAACATTTTTTTGGTCATGCGTGTGTGGTGAATTTCTGTACGAGGCCGTTGAAATGTACACAGCATGAGGTCATTACTTTTTTTTTTTGTTGTTGATTATATATAAGGCAATTGTATTATTTTTATGAATATTTTAAACGAAATTTTACTACTTCCTAATTGTTTTCTGTTGAAGCCTAAAAGTTTCACTTTGTGTTTTAAGCATGAATCATTGCCAAATCCCCTTAGGGGTACAGCAGCGTTGCATAGGATGTAAACATTCATCGTTGTTGGTATTATAAGCAAACAAACATATTTCCTGTAGCAGGATATGCATTTTTAGGTGATGGTGCTGCATTACAGCCAGCCACAGGCAGCTATTTAGTTGAATATATTTTTCAAATAAAGTCGCTAAAACTATGAAAAAGTATATATTTTTAAGAAATAAATTACGATATAGTTACACACATACAGTACGCCTACGATTTTGAACAATAATAATAATTAGTAAAAAAAAAAATAAAAATATTTAACTAAAACAAAATTGTATTGATAGTATTTCCTCCGTATTTAGGCTTCTATTAGAAAAAAATAAAATAAAATTAAATTAATACAATAAATAAACTCTCCATGAATAATAACGAAACTAAAGCACGAGTCATATTTTAAATATTTACATACATATGTACATACATACATATTTAAGTAACTGTGCAATTGAATTGATTAAGCTAAACAAGAGAGAAAGAAAAAGAGCTCGAAGTGCATAGTCTAATTCTGCGTAGTAAAACGATCTAAAAATTATATATATATATGTATATATAAATAAAATATAAAAATACGATACAAAGATTGTTTTTGTTGGCTTTGAATGAATCCCGTTTGCAATGACAACATTCACAGCTGGAAGTGACTGGTTGTACGACATCAGAAGGGCGCTGTTGTTGTTGTAACTATCTATTAACGTTACGGTAAAACGTAACTTACCGCCGGTAAATTCTTGAGCCTCTTACTAGCAAGTTCAAAGTAAAAGTAGTTGTTATTGCTGTTGTAGCCTCAAAGAAATACTCCTAAATAGTTTTTTAAGGAATACTAACGGGAACTATTGGATACGGCAAGCGTGCCTTACCTCTGGTAAATTACTACTATGTGGAGGGTCTTTCTTGCGGCTCTTGGTGAGTTTTTTTCTAAAATCTGCACCCTTTGATAGGAAAGATCAACCACTTCACGTATATTTTTCGACAGGAAATAAGAAGCTGCTCATTAATTTATATATGCAGTTCGTGGTACAAATCTTTTTTTGCATCAGATATACACAGCTTGTGTTCTTCATCTGCTTTAAGTGGTCTTCGCGTTGCAGGTGAAGGTAAGAAGACTCAAATTCAGATTTATAGCCCTTTGTTCAGTTGGCTACCTGTGCGACCTTTATATGTCATTTCTGCCCAACCAAAGGCGATATTGCACGACCCGTTCCATAAACTTTCCAAGCATCACGTCAATAAGCGGAACTTGTGTGCGGTCTGATGTCGAATTTACGCTGTGGGAGTCGTATCTTCACGCATCAAGACAAACATTTTAAGCTACGTGGACTTTATACTAGAATTCATCGCGTAACACAACATAAGCTGAAGTATACAACTACAACGAAAACAAACCCTTCAAACTTGTATCTCATCTCTGGAACACGATACTAATTAAAAAAATTTATGCTCTGTTGAATTTAAACCGAGAATCTAAGGAATTTATTTCAATTGCTTACATTTCCGGCGAACTAAACTTAATAATTACTCTTCCTCTACGGTACTTCACAGGTGTCTCGCTCAACTTAAACAATTGTTTCGAATTGTCCACGTAGCTGCGCTTCTTTAACAATCGCTTGCAATTCCTTGTCCTTCTGTGCGCGCAACTCATCGATGACACTCTCAGCAAAGCCGGGATCCTTCGCTGGATTATTTATTTGAGCTTTGGACTTTGCTGAATTAGTTTTTCCCACCTCATTCAACTGTGGCGCTTCGGCAGCCAATAGTGAGCCGATTCGTTCAACACTCAGCACGCCAACGCTGCCTATCTGATCCCAGCTATCGGTGCCAAACCAAATCGAAACCGCTTCCGTGCTGTCGGTGACATGTGCCCGAAAGGGATTCGATGGACTGCCGAAACCCAAGTGGCTTATTGTGTCACGTAATATCTTAGACAATTTGGGTATTTTACTGGAATAGAACAGCACACTGCCGCCCACAAGATGCGCCATAGAACGTAGACAACGACAGATGTGCTGCTTTAGCTCGGCATCTAGAAAAAACTTAGATTTAGATAAGTTAAACAAATTGTCTTCATCTACAAACCGAAGTCTTTAAATAAATCGTATTTGCCGCCAACGATGACCACAGGAAATGGCATCAGCTCGAGGCTTTCTAAGTCATTGTGATCCTTCTTCAGTCGATCGGCCATACGCTCGCGATACGTCTGCTCTTCCTCGACGCTCAGTAGTTTATTGCTTGCTGCACGTAGCGCTTGATAGATGCGCTCCAATTCGGGCCAAACACGTTTCGGTTGCGACAGATCCAACATTATGATGGCCGCAAAGTTTTCAAGACCGTGTGTTTGTAGTGGCACTGAAATCAACTGTTCTGCGTTGTCCAAAGCGCCGAGCTCCCAAACGTTCAGCACCTGCTTCTGGGTGCCGCTGGTGCGTCGGCCATATGAGTACTCCAGCGCCAAGGTCGGTCGCGGATTATCATCACGATCGAAGAATTTATGCAACGCGGTGGATTTGCCCTATGTACTCGTAAGAGCATGAAATAGATGAATTTAAAGCACTTTGTTGAGTTTCTTCGTACTTACAGCACCTCTACTGCCCAGCATAAAAACGGTGCGCTCCTTCGGTCCACTCTCAGTTTGCAGTGTACGTAATTGCTCCTCGGCCAATTTAATCGCTATTTCTTGTATGGTCTCAGGCTTATTCCCGGCTGTTGTGTTGTCTCGTTTCTCAAACATTTTAGTGATTCTTTTGAAGAATTGCAAACCAGTGTGGAGAAATTGTCCTTTCATTTACCGTCGCTTTCAGAACTCTTATGAAAACTTGGCTTTGTTGTGTCTTTTTTCATTCCAGCCAGCTGCTAAGTGATATCGTTACTATGAGCAACGTGTGCGCGCTCAGGTGGTAGTTTGGCTTACTTGCATGGTGTGTTCTGCAGGGAAATCGCTTACGACGTACATTTATTGCATCAACAGGCTCTGAGAAATAAAAACCTAAGGTCAGAAAGAATACATATTTCCATTACGACGCCATTATGCTGTCGGCCGATCTTCATTCAAAACGGTTTCGACAGCTGTTGCAAGATACACTGGAAGATGTGCTGCCTCGTGACAAAAACGGTAGCATTTTCGGTTAGCAAAACTGCTTGAAGCGATTATTATTTTCCCCAGGATATGAAAAAGGACAACATTGAATTTTTACAAAGAGCACTGTCCTGCATTGCGCATGGTCGGTGAGTAGATGATGTAATAAAATTTTAAGCTACTCATTGAAAGAAAACGTCATATGCAAGGACATGCTGACATACATATACTCGTTAGGCGAATTGAACGGACCGAAAAACAATTATCCCTTGATGACCCTTTGTCATCGTTTTATTTGTTTTTATTTTTAATGTTTTATTTATTTTTTGTTAAGTTGTATTTATTTTTATTTTTTTATTTTTTTTTATTTTATTTTATTTTATTTTATTTTATTTTATTATATTTTATTTTATTTTATTTTATTTTATTTTATTTTATTTTATTTTATTTTATTTTATTTTATTTTATTTTATTTTATTTTATTTTATTTCATTTTATTTTAATTCATTTAATTTCATTTTGTTTTATTTTATTTCATTTTGTTTTATTTTATTTTGTTATTTTAATTTATTTTCTTTTACATCATTTAATTTTATTTTCATTTTAAATTTTTTTTAAGCTTATGTTTTTAATTTAATTTAGTTTTTTAAATTTTATTTCTTTTTATTTTATTTAATTTTTTTGTTTTATCTAACTTAATGAAATTGTAAATTTGTTTCATTTTGTTTTTTATTTTATCTTAATTTATTTCATTTTTCCAATGTCGCTGGTCGTCAGGGGTTAACGCAAAAAGTAAAATTTGACATAAAACAAAATCAGTTAAATTTTTCTGAACTGAAGTGTGAAAATTAAAAAAAAAAATCATTGCGTCTATTTTTACTGGAGAAGGGTTAAGTTTTCATACTGAGATATTAGCGAATTGGTGCCAAAATGTATTATTATGTATTCGAAAGACTGAAATTCTTGCTAATTTAAAGTTTCGTGGATTATGTGTCGTGTTTTGTTTATTTATTTATTTATTTTTTTTTGGGTTTTGACGTCAATTTGGCAGCGTCAAGAGCCGACAAGCCAGCAACAAGGCACGAAAACCCCAAACACGCTCTTGCCATCCAGCTTCGATGCTGCGAAGTGTCAATGCTTCAAATAAAAACTCAGCTTAGAACTTCAAGCGCTGCTTGCTCGCTCGTCTGCCTTGCTGCTCACCAGCGCTGCTGCCAACTCGCTCAGAGCTAACGTCATAAGTTTGTGAGCTCACATGCAAAATTGGACTTCGTCTGCTCTACTCCGACTTCATCAGATTCTTCTTCGACTCGAGGTTTTGTGTCTTCACAAAGGCGTTTTGCCTTACGTTTTTTCACTTCTGTTTCCGTTTTTTTTTTGTTGTTGTTGTTTTTCACTACTCAGCTTACAGAAACTTCATATGGCTCTGTGGAGCACGAGAGATGTCATGTACTTTTGTATGTACTTCACCGCCCCTTACACGTCGCCTCGCCCTATAAGACCCACACTCGCCGGACGGCTGACACGCGCACTGTGTTAGCACACGCTCACTTTCAAAAGCAACAGCAACGTCAAATCGGGCAGACGCGTCGACAATGTCGTCGCCGTCGTCTCGGTCGTCGCCAAATACATTCGAATAGTGTGCAATGCGCTGCGAATGGAATTAGACGTGTCTCGTCGGGTGAGCACATAGCGTTAGTGATGCTTATATACACCGCAAATATTCATACCTACATACATACATACATACAAATGTGCATACAAAGAGCTGTATGACTTTACTAAACGAAACTAAACTTTATGAATGTCTCTATTGAAGTTCCTAGCAACTACGGCGGGGCAGTCGGTGGCGTGTTTCTGAAGTTTGCGTAGGAAAAAAAATCTTCAAGTGAAATAGAATAGTTAAAGGAATCTGCGGTTTCGCGGTAGCGGTAGCATAGATTTTTTTGAAAAAAAAAGTGCAGATAAAATTTTATGTACCGTTAGAAAAAAAGTTCACTATTCATAAAAAAAATCGCATAATTTCAACGCGCCAGTAATATGGCGTAAAATCTGTCTTACATTCGGGATCATTATCAGAAAAAATATATAATAGATATATCAGTTACCGTTATAGCCGTCAAAACACACAAAAAGCAAAAACTACGGCAAACGTGTGTATGTGTGCGCAGAGTGAGTTTCGAAGTTGAGTTGTGCAATAATTTCGCATAAAGTTGTAAATTCGAAGTTCGAAGTGGAGTGCCCAACTCTACAAGTGCGGAGCAGTGATTGGGAAAGTGCACATATGGCACAGGGATTTGGTTTAAAAGTGCAACTCCATTAAAATTAGAGCACTGGGAAGGCACAACGGCGACGGCGACGGCGACGAGCGACTGCGACTCACCACCTCACCTGATAGTAAAAGCTTTCGTATAAGGCCAGCGCCAAAGAAAAGAAGAAAACAGCAAGCTCGCGCGACGTGGTCGGCGGTGTGCGGTGTGCGGTGTGCGGCGCAGCACACAATTTTGCAGGTGAGTGCGTGCGTTTAAGTGTTTAAGTGCTCATATGCCTATGAAAAAGTAAAAAAAAAATAAGAAAAAACTGTCTCACACACACATGCACGGCCACACACAATTAAAAAGGCGCCGTATTTTATCGCCAGCCAACGAAAAATCGATTTTTCCTCCCTACATTTCGGTTTTTTTTTGCTATTCCGCATTTTCGGTAGCTGTAATCCATGTCAGCTTGTTGTTGTTGTTATGCCATGTTGGTTTTTTGGTTATCCAATAATCTCACTATTCGTAACATTCTACTCCACCACACAGTCAGCACCATGCGACCGGCATTAAGCTTTTTCTTTTTGTTTTGTTTTACTAACCGAAAATAGTATTTTTTTTCACACAAACACACACAGGCGAAACGTCAAGGCGAGCCACGATAAGCCGCCCACTCATTAGCAGGCTGGCGCGCAATATCAACCATTAACCAGGAGTTGCGAATATATTTCCCAAGTACATCCGTCGGTTCACACACAGCCATAACCGCACACCAGAGCGGTTACAGGTAGAGCAACACGACGTGTGGGTACTCTTCATGGGCTGGGGCAAACTTACATATGGATAAATCTAGACAGCTGAAGTGAGTTGCGAGTGATGGTGGCGCATTTGTGGCAGTTCGCTCAAGTAATGCCAGGTTTTGCCTTAAAGTTCACTTAAAGTTCTTCTTGGCTCGCCTATAACAAACTCATAGATTGCGCTGGACTGTCGCCGAGCTACAGGAGAAGGCTAGCAGAATATCTGTCTAAGGTACATAGCACGGTAGAAACTGTAGGGTAGACGAAGTTGTCATGAAGACATACCAGACAAAGAATCCGTTGTTGTGCCTTTTGCTAAATGCAAACTGCCACACAGGCAATTTACTCATGAGGCTGCGGCGTGTTGCAATAAATTTAGACAAACGTCTCGGAAGTGGGTTTATAAAAGGTGAGCCGAAATGTACCCTCTTAAAAGACTTAATACTAGGCCGACTGAAGAAAGACTGCGAGTTTATTTTAAGAGCTGGTGTAGAAGCTGCATGAACGATGAAGAGGAAAGATCGTTTCTTTTATGCAATTGCCTTTAATACTGTCTTCCTTGAGAGCCTTATAGTTGGGTTCTTCCAATTCTGAAGAAGAAGTTGTGGCTCTAGAACATTTACATTTATAATTGATCCTTATATTTTGGTAAATACTCCAGAGAATGAAAACTCGGCTCTGTAACCTCACTCGAAAGCTTAAAAATTAGTTGACTCATCTAAATCCCTCCCTGTTTGGTTCGAAGCCGTCGAAATAGATCGTTTTGAGATCGACTACATTTACCAGATCCAGTCGGTACAACAACAACAACAATTACTATAATACAAAAAACATCACATTCGTCGGAACGATGAACTGTGCTTTCTGTTACATGACGATAAGGATATGGCTTAGTGAAGTAATATATAAGGGCTAGATAGGCCAGATCGAGCTAATCTTAAAGATCTTAATGTTCTTCTTAGTTATGTTCTCCACACGGGTGCCGGCTGAACATGCCTGGAGTGAGCCTTGGGGATGTAAGCATGGGGCATCTAGTGAAGGGTGGTGTAACCATAATTGTCCTCTTAACGACTTACTTTGTATGCGTTACTAGGAGAGGCGGATATGTGTCTGCTTATGCCATCGACAATGATATACCTAAAAAACTTGACATGGCGGTCTAAGAAGGTAAAAAGAGGGTCAGAATATCCATCTGAACGTTGAAACTCTTTAGCTGTTGCTCAGGGTGCTCGTTCGGTAGCAAATAAAAGGTCTAAGCCAATACTCAGCAAGGATGAACTGTAGGCAAAGCAAGACTCGTTGTCCGCGCCAAAGGTGGAACTGCGACTAAAATGCAATTATCTGTAAAAGGATTTGACTGCAAAACCAATTAAAAGAACCAAGCAGAGAGATGAGGATGTGAACACCAAAGGCAGATTAGGAGACAACGGCCTGTGGAATAGCCTCGTACCTAAAAGTGACGCTCATTGACCGCAGCAGCCGTCTGAGGTAAATAACTCAGAACCGATGGGAGTGGCATTCCCTCTTCGGGCTCACCCAACTAGACGTTTATGTAGATTTCCTGGATAAGATGAGGCGAAAAAGGTCGCCAGTACAGATATAGTTCAGCGTAACTGCATTTCGTCCATACCCAAAAGCGTAGAACACTCTACGGCTCCTAAGGTGACAAACTCCTGATATACCCATAAAGAGCTAGAACTCGAAATCGATTGGAGTAATAAAGTATTCTCGCCTGAAGCGAACTTTTTTTGGACCTCCTTAAAGAATAACGCAAAAAATTCTAAATTTCCAATAAATGTGTATAAAACACAGCCATTTCCATGTGCTAATGGATGCACGGTCTCATCTATTTGCATATTAATGTGAGTGTGTTTGTCGCAGGTATGTAAATTACCTTTTTGCGTCAGGAAACTCCACTTCATGGCCTTATTTCCCGACGTTCTGCGTTCTACGTTGAAATGAGTGGAGCTTCCTCCTTTCCGTTACAATGCTTTTGTTTCTGTTTTTGTGCACATCTCCCTTGCTCTTCGATACACGTTGTGGTAGCGCCTTCCACTCATATGGTCGACGTATTTGCATATTTTGCTATCCAACTCCCTGGGCACTTCCCGCACTTGTTCATTAGAGCCGTACTTGCTTATTGAGCAGCACAGCAACAACAACATAACACTATACTTTTCTTGTTTTTTTCTTGTATTTTGCTTATATGATTTCTTCACTCATTTGCACCGGCTGTTTCGTTTGGTTGCGATGAGGTATCGCC